TGTGATTCGCTCCAAAAACCAAGCTCCTTCAAAGAATTCCAAAATGTCAAGTAATGCTGAACAGACCTGCGAGCGAGAAACGCAAGACTGTATACCTGATTCAATCACTTGCACGGCAGGTGGCTGGAAAGCGCAGATTACTGTTCTATGTGTCACGAAACGACCTAAGGGGTGGTACCGAGAATATCCCACGCTCATTATCCACAGCGCAACGATGTGGGCAGCTGGAACACTTAAAAGAAGACCTCTCTCCAATGCGATCGGATTATTATTTTATATTACACAACGAAATTGTGTGTTGTGTACAAGGACAATTTAGGCAAAAACTACTCCTGAGAGACATTACTAATGAATATTCAAAACGACAATAACAAATGGAAAATAACGTGAAACTTGTGGACTAAAGCGTTTTCTCAGTAGAGTCTTGAATGTGCTGCAACTTAACGATGCTTTTTATCGAGTTTCTCACGTGTACGTAAAGCTCTGTAAGTAAAGAAATGACGCTTACTATTCAGCCTCGCTTTAGCAAGGCTATATTCAAAAGAACGGTCCGCGATCAAGTATCGAAGATGAAAATATGGCATCGGGAGGATAGTGCGGTCCTTAACATTCTATAAACAGAAACTTGTGTGTCCGGTTTGTCGGTATGTAGGTTATGTATGTATGTATGGTCGGTTTTATGTTCCGTCCGTCCCAAATGCTTACGGGATTGAATCCCGGTTAGTGAGAAGAAGAAAACGAGCCGCTAGCCAAACGGAACCCAATCGGTTGCAGATTGTATCATTGCAAAGTGTTTTGATGTGAATACAGGGCATATATAAGACAAACTTACTCGTACACTCCGAGCCATTGCACGAGCTGCTGCCGTGGCAGCTGGACGTGTGCTCGTGCGGGGGCAGGGTGGGGGTGCCAGGTCGCCCTGCCTCCTTCTCCTGCATGTGCTCAGCCGGAGCTGAGCACATGTATTGGAGGGAGGCAGAGGGAAGGGGTCGCGGGAGGGGGGGGGGTACAGTGAGGGGTGCGTAGCGCGCGTTTTAGTAGAAGCGCACACCAATGGATGAGGAGTGGCGAGTACGGAATGGGGTCAGGTGAGGAAGGTGGGAGTTAGTATCGAGTGACCCCCTTCTCCCATCCTACAATTTCCTTAGCGGCTACAACACCACGGCAGTCGGATCTGAGCCCATGCAGGGGAAGGAGGCATATGGATTGAATCGGGCAAACTGGTAGTAAGGGGATGCGTAGCGTACGCTTGAATAGGAGCAGGTGGCAAGAGAAAAGGAAAGAACCCCTACAAGAAACTGCAAGCTAATTCCATCGTTGCACAACGAAGCTAAAGGAAGCTGTTTGGATTGTAGCTCCCCTATCTAAGCCAACCACTGTGATAGACTCTGTGCTATTGCAGGAGCTGCTCGCTTGGGAGCTGGACGTGAGCACGAGCAAGGCGGTGGTAAGAACAGTGGCGGCGTAGTGTCCCTATGTTGCACCAGCTGCTCACGTGGCGGCTGCATACCACGTGCGGGAGTGGGCGCCGGTTAAATAGGGTCAGTGGGATATGATGTTGTGAGGGAGATACCAGATGAGAACGGCGATTTTGCGATTAGGAGCACATAGCGCCTGCGGCAGTAAGGCGTCTACGGATGCGATGAGATGAGAAGAAAATGGATCGCCCGCAATCGGAACGGAACCGGTTAATGTTGCATTATCAAACTGTGGTAGCGTTTTGACAGCCATAACACCCTCCACAACATAACACAACCATTTAGTGCACTCAGAACCATTGCACGGGCTATTCGCGTAGCAGCTGAGCGTGACCTGTAGGGTGGCTGAGCGGGGAATAGCTGAGGTTAGTTTGGGGATAGGTGAGGTGAAGGGGTACCATATTGGCGCGACCGACGCTCGCCTGAACAGGAGCACGCAGCGACTGCGGAGACCGAAGCATCCATGGCTGTCATGAGATGGGGAGGAGAGTAATCGATTATCCATGACCAGATTTTGAACTTTTCATTATGAAAGTGCCCTGCGATCATATGGCGCGTTTCTACATTCATTTGATTAGAAGACAGCGATTAGTCACGACTCTAAAGCAGTTGCATGAGCCCGGCGAAGCCGGGCTTCCAAGAAGGAGGAGAGCTCGGCGTTAGCCGGGCGATCCGACTGGTTAAATAAAAACTACTCCTGGACAGACATTACTAATGAATATTCAAAACGACAATAACAAATGGAAAATAACGTGAACTTGTGGACTAAAGCGTTTTCTCAGTAGAGTCTTGAATGTGCTGCAACTTAACGATGCTTTTTATCGAGTTTCTCACGTGTACGTAAAGCTCTGTAAGTAAAGAAATGACGCTTACTATTCAGCCTCGCTTTAGCAAGGCTATATTCAAAAGAACGGTCCGCGATCAAGTATCGAAGATGAAAATATGGCATCGGGAGGATAGTGCGGTCCGCGACGAACAACCCTGTACCGTTTTCGCGGCAAAAAAGTGCAGGGGAGGGGCGCTATAAGGCAAAATAGGTCCAGTGGTTCCTCCTTTTTTCCAGTGACTCCGCCTCCCAAGCGCCGCCCTTCAGTGAAAAACCAGTTGTGGGACGAGAAAAGCATGAAAATCTAAGCGCCTTCGTTATTTGTACGGACGTAGGGTTGTATTGAGTCAGCTGAGCGCGCGGAGTGGTAAAACTGGAAATGTACTGCAAAAAGTATTGTATTGCAAAAGTGCACGAAATGTTGGAAGAAAATAGCAACATTTTGAATTTGAAAAGCAAAACACAAACTCAAAAAGACAAAGAAACATAATGATACGATGAATTCACTGAAAAAATAAGAATATTAAAGGTCAGTCTTTCAAACGTGGCGCCACACCTATTTCTGGCAGCGAGCCAATAACGTGGAACGCTCGTCCATAAGCGCTGTTTCCCCATCGTATGCACGTACAAACTAGGATTGTAATGGGGTCCTATTTAGGTCATTGGGCATGTTTTTTTTCTGCTTTTTCCTTCACTATTGTTTTACTCTAAACCTTGTCCTTTTTATGCGAAGCCCAAATTCACTATCTAAGATGGCAAATGAGCGCGGGCTTTGTCTTCAATAGCGCTTCCCGAGTAACAGAAGATTTGAGCGAAAAAAGACGATCAAGTTCAATAGGTCCACCGTGCAGGAGCTTATGCAACAGCAGGAGATCGTTCCGCTTCCTCCTTAGCACAAGAGTAGACAACTCAAAGTTCTTGTTTCTAGCGGCACTGGAGGGAATTTGATCATAACGGAACCCTAGTACGCGTACCATGAGCTTCCTAGTGAAGTTGTTCTGAACTCTCTCCAATGCGTTAATAATTTTGACCTTATAGGGATTGAACACGGGAGTGCCGTATTCTACAATTGGCCTGATGAAAGTCTTGTAAGCCTGTAGTAGTATCGATGCATTTTTAGTTGCAAAACTCTGAAACAAGTTGTGAGTCATAACAGTAGCTTTCTTGGCTATTAACAAGCAGTGTGCATCAAAGTCAAGATTATCAGTCACCAAGAATCCCAAATCCTCGTCTATCGTGTAACAGTGCTGTCCACTGCGGCTGCCTAGGTGCAGTACTTTCTGGCTGGAAAGCGCAGATCACTGTTCTATATATGTGTCACGAAACGACCTAAGGGGGAGTACCGAGAATATTCCATGCTCACTATCCACACCGCAACGATGTGGGCAGCTGGAACACTCAAAAGAACCTCTCTCGAATGTGATCGGATTAGCGTTATATCGCCCACCACAGGATTTCGGAGTCGGGTGAGTCGCGAAGTATGAACAGGGCCTAAGAGTTTTTTCGCGAACGCATTTAGGAGGGGTTTCAACAATCAACCAAAACAGCATTCACGTAACGGCTGTCAATTTTACCTGCAGATGGAAAGAGTGCCGCGAAGTTGAATTGTCCGACACGGACCTCGTTGCCCTTGTAGGTGATATTCGGTAACAGCTCAATAAACGGAGTGATGGCCGGGTTTTCGTCATGAGATTCCTGAAAAGCAAAATTGAGCCATAATAATTTATCTAATAATATCTTGAGTGTCCTCTAAAAAATTCCTTTAGAAAGTTGAGTGCAATCTGCTCGCGTTCAGTTGCCCACGCATTCTCAAATTTTAGAAAGCGGAAGCGCTGCAAGGAGTCTAAAATTGATTGAATATCCTCAAAATGACATCACTTAGCTGGAGAGGGCCCCTTCAAGCGTATTCTCCAGGGGAAATTTATTCGTCGCTGAGACCCTTCAACCTCAAGAGTGCGAAGTTATGAAATCATCGGCTGCAGCCTTCAGCGTCTAGCAGTTGAAGGCGATCTATTCACGACCAGAAAACTTTGATAGCTGTTATTTATTTGTCAACTGGTTTCCTTTGACCGAGTGATAACCTTCAGAGGTCCTAGTGGATTGGGTAGTAGGTGCTAAATGGTCCATGAGGTAAGCTGATCTCTCCAGGAAGTTGTTCACCATGGGAAACAGAGCAAATTGGTGGAGATTAGATTCCCAAACGAAACAAGGCAAGATTATATTTTGTCAAAGGACCCACATAAACAAGTGCTTTGATGGAAAACGCCAAATAATTTCTCAAGCAGCGCACATTCCGGAACACCCCCCCCCTCCCTTTTTGAGGGTGTTGGTCGACCCCCCCCCCTCGTTCCTAATTGTCGAGCTGAGCGGAAGGCGAGGAGGATACGTCCCCCTTTCTAACATTTCTTAAATTTTCCCCAACTTCCTGCCACTTTTTCCCGAAGTTCCCAAAGATTCTCCTACTTTACCCGATGACTTGAAACAGGAAAACCATGAAAGTCAGCAACCTTTCTTTCTCAGAAGCCCACAAGGAGGAAACCATCCCCCCCACTCCCTTCCCAACAGAGAGCAAGTACGACTTCCCTTTCCCAGCGAAGTAATACATCCCCCTGCTGGAGAATCCCCAACAACGATGTGCCCTATTCTCGATTAATGAGGGTAGAATTATTTACACAGAAAGTGCGTCAAAGCGCAGACGGAACGAACTGATAGCGGCTTATCAAGGCCACAGAAGAGCAGTCTGTGAAAAGTAAGTTAAAGAAGAACCTCACTGCCTTCCTCACTTCAATTTATGCCTATGACACCACCTTAACTAAATGTGGGCAGCAGTAAAGTCTGCGTACGAAGGTATTCAGTCAATCAGCAATTGTTCTGGTTCCCCCTCTATTCGGATTGGTACTATTCTACTAGTATTACTCCAAAAAGCCACGAAATTTTTTTCGAAACTTTGCCCAGAGTCTGCTTGATCACGAATTTTCTAACGTCGCCAATAGGCGCCAATTAGGCGCCACCACCTATCTCACCGAAATCAATGAAGACTCATATGCAGGTATTATTTAACAACCTGGTCACGCGATATTCATTCTTGGCGGCGGCACCAAAGTGGTGCACTCTGAGCATCTGCGCTCCGCTAAGGCTGAGCCTGACGGGAGGAGTAAATCCGTTCCGCCAGGCTCGCCGTAGCACAGCACTGATAATCGTAAAGTCCTTCATTAGCCAAAGAAAAAAATATATAGGATATTTATATATAAGCTGTCAAATAAGATTTATATGCACAAATTTTATCGATTTTGGTGACTGGGAGTGTTTTGGCGCAACGGTGTCTGGCTAAGCGGATGCGATATTCACGATCAAAAGTCAATGTATCCCTATGGACAAGTTGTCAGGGAATTTGATGACTTCGAGTATTTCGGCACCGGCGCTTGTGGTGCGGATGCCAGGCACTTTCAGGTCAGCGGTTGTGATATTGGGGTTGAGGAGGGCGAGCCATTCATGAAAACGTATTCCCAATCGAAACTTTCCTCGTAAAAAAAGTCGGTAAAAAGTACGATGATTTCGGGAGATTGTAGTAGTAATATGGAATCGTGTCATCGAATTTTGTGGACATCTCCTTTACATTCATTACAAAGTGGTTATCTAATATGTGACGTTGAAGAGTTTTTTTTTAACATGATCGTTATATTGTGTGTTCTAGCCTGCCACGACATGAACGTAATTGCCCGAGCATGTCTTAGTGGAGATATGTTATGACTGACATTGAGAAATATGGCAATTGCCAGCACTCCATTTGGTTGTTTCAGTGCCAATTCCATCGTTGGAAAGCGAGTATTACGATGAATCAGATGCAGCTCGCCGGCGTAGCCGACACCTTAAATAAGCTATGCGTTGGTCTGCGAAGTTGCAGTAACAAGAGTAGTGAGTACCTCCGATGGTGTGTTCA